ACTATCAGCTGATGAAAGATTCACATTAAATTCCAGTGTCATGTGATTATCCCAATATCCCGTTTAGTGAAAGGTAATTCACTCCATACAGAACATATCCTGTCATTATAAGACATTACTATCAGCTGATGAAAGATTCACATTAAATTCCAGTGTCATGTGATTATCCCAATATCTCGTTTAGTGAAAGGTAATTCACTCCATCTACAGAACATATCCTGTCATTATAAGACATTATTATTAGCTGATGAAAGATTCACATTAAATTCCAGTGTCATGTGATTATCCCAATATCCCGTTTAGTGAAAGGTAGGATCATTATTTAGGTCAGTATATGTTTCATCACATATTTTTTCAGACGGGCCACATTTAACGTATTTACTTCAATCTGTTCTTCTTTCTGCATGATAGGTTTATTTCTTTGTCCTTTGCCATTCTTACACTGTCCTTTAATATCGTGCATAACCAGGCTGTACGTATATATATATATATTGTAAATCCTGTTTTTACTTTGAAGATCTCCCAATTAAATAATTTACCTGATGTTCTGTGGAATCTTCGTCAATTCCTTTACTTTAGTCTTCTTTCACCTGTTACTATTTCTTCTATTTCATTATATGTTTATCGTTTTTGCTCTCTAATATCTAAATTTCACGTTTTTCTATTTATACTTCTCTCCACAATATATATATTTCGATATCTACTTTTTAATAACTGTATGCTCCTATTCCTATAATTATTCATGTTTCTAAGCTTGCCTTCTCTTTCTCTCTCTGTTATTTACAAACACTCTTGTTCTTTATTCTTCCTTTTCGTTCTGCTACTTCTTCTCTTCCCTTCAGTTCTACAACCATTTTTCTCCCTCGTCTTTGCCATACTTTCCATCAACTCTATATTTCTCACGTTTTCTCTCGATGTTCTCTCCATTGCTTCTCTTGTATAATTTTACTGTTAGTATTCTTTTCGTCTCCCGTACTCTTTTATCCATTGCTATTCGTTGCTTCATGCCTTCTCCTGTACTTTCTGTTTTTCTTTCTATTTCCGCTCTTCTCCTTTAACTAATTCAATCTTGTTGCTGGATTTTTTCTTTTACACTCTTTGCGCGCTCTATTTTTTCCGATAACTTATTCGTTTCTAGATTTTTACTCTACACTTACCGTATTTTTCGGAATATAAGACGCACCCTTATTTTGAAGACAAAGTTTTTTGGGAAAAAAAAACTACAGTCGCATTTAGAAGATTTTTATTGAACAAAAATTGAATTTGATACTTTCAAAATTAGTATATATTGATCTAAACACAAAAGAGCTCAAAACATCAAAATACGAAAATACCGTAAATCAAAAAAGGTTTACTGTTATTTAGTTTGGTTCAAACCCTACAAAATCTTCATTGCTTTCACTGTAATTTATTTTTTTATTTTTAGGAAGCATTATAAATAGTTATGTTTTTAAAAAAAAAAAAAATAACTATTGTTATAAATAACACATTCAATTGAACTAAACTATGCATGCCTATTTAAATATATTTACACATAGCTTGTGTATATTGTATATATACCTATATATTATTCATACCTTCAGTGTATAGGACGTAAGCAGATTTTGACATCAAATTTTGGGGTAAGAAAGTGCGTCTTATACACCAAAAAATACGGTATATTAATACTTATCAAGCCTATTCCTAAAATACGGTATATTAATACTTATCAAGCCTATTCCTAAAATACGGTATATTAATACTTATCAAGCCTATTCATAAAATACGGTATATTAATACTTATCAAGCCTATTCATAAAATACGGTATATTAATACTTATCAAGCCTATTCCTTCACTCATATGCCTTTGTTTCTATCCACTTGTTCTATGTATTCTTTGCTATTTTACTGTACCACTTTCTTTCAAGTAATTCGATTTTGTTTTACACTCATATTTTCAGGTATACATAAATAATAATCATCCAATATTAAGTTTAAAAGTATAAGTGTAACATGAAAGTGACTGTATTTTCCTGTTTTGTCCTTTCATAATAACAATATCCTATCAGTGTGTCGATATATCAACAATCGAAATTTATAAAACCAACGGTATGATTTCGGATATAGCATCTATAACGACAAAAGTCAAATACAAAAATACTCAATTTTTTCTTCGATACTTTTGCATCTGACAACATCGAAACATTTTTCTGCTGTTAGGATTTATTTCTCTGTTAAACGTCTGTGAAAACTTTCCACAAAAACAGTCTATACCTAGTGATTAGATAAGTTTCTCACAGACGCAGGGTCAAACATCAACATCAGGGTCAAACATCAACATCAGGTTAATGTTCATCGTTACATCGGTATTTACTCAGATTTCGCAATATATTGATCACACGTCCAGCAATCGAGAGTTTTATTTATTTCCACTTCAAAATATAAAATAAGTTCAGTTTGTATGTTGTTAAGCACAAAGCAACACAATAGCCTATCTGTGGTGTGCCCACCACGGGTACCGAAACCCGTTTTTGGCGCAAAAAGCCTTCAGACTTACCACTGAGCCACTGGGAGTCCAAATAAGGTATTTGTGTTGTGCCCGCCACGGATATCGAAACCCGGTTTTTAGTGTTTTAAGTCTTCGTACTTACCGCTAAACCACAAGGAGCTAATAAGTACAGATAGAATAATTTAAATATTATATTAATAAAATTTCTACGAGTTAAATTTCCAAAACCCCTCAATAGTCTGGAATACCGAGAATATCATTCAACGTTCCATTTCTCACTAAGGTCCTTCACCGGTGAGGGGAATATACAAACAACAAAACATGAGGCGAATACTGGGAGCCAGATTATGGGATACAACAGTACAGTATTATCTTTTCGGCATGTCTTAGGTAATCACATAAAACTATTACGCAGAGTTCCACGTGAGACTTTAAAAGATTCGTTCGAAACAAACAAGAAGGAATAACATTTTTTTTATGAAGATGACCAAACATAAAATTTTGGGACGACATGCGCGTGCTTTCTAGAATCTTAACAACATTATTTTCATTAGGAAAAAAAATTAAATTTAGTAAAAAGAAACAGATTATCCAGAAATTACACTTCCAAAAACGTCACATTGTTTTCTGTTTTTATTGGAAAGCCACACAATGATCTATCTGCGCTTTGTGTGTCGCAGGAAAATATTGACCCATCCGAGCCTATTGTTAATAGAATTGTATGTACTTATCATAGTTAGATATAAAAATTAGTTGTTATATCATTACAATCAACTACTTTACTATTGAAGTGCGTGTGTGTCTTCTTCCCGCTTATAAACTGACTTTATTTTACTTTATTTCAAATACAGAGACTAATCTTGCATCAACAGAAATTCTTGTGATTTCTTGACACTGCTACAAATGCAAACCCCGGCGGGTCAGCGGTAAGTTTGTATAGTTACAACACTAAATCCCGGCGTTCAATTTCCTGTGGTGGACAGTGTGCAAATAGCCAATTGTGTTCTTTTGCGATAAAAAACACATACACACAAATACAAATTTAGGTTTTTCCAAAATATCATATAGTTGAAGAGTTGCAGGTGTTATACATGCAAATACAAAGGTGAGACACGTGCAGTTTATCACTTTGCATCATGGGATATCTTGCACGTATATCACCGTGTTTACAGCGCCATCGAAGTAGTCTGCCTTCTTACCCAACCTTATCACTATTAGATACCAGAAACTAGTTAATTCTAACACAGTTATAGTGTAACCTAACGATTACAAATGAAACATTGTTGTCAATACAATCATTTTGCACTAATTAAGATACTATTGACATTTAAACAAAACCTGGTTCAAGAAGAAATGTTTAGTTTTTAATACATTTTGACAGCACTTTTTCAAATATGAACACAATGAAACACAGTCAACAAAAACATCGTACAAATTTTGAATTTTAATAATATATTCACAATTAAATTCACATATCACACAGTTACAGGTATTCTGAGCAGACGAATGCGTGAATCAAAGATAAAA